TCTTTCCCCTTTGCTGGTCGAATTCAATGAACGTCCCATTTCTGATTACTACGCTCCAATTTCAAACGCCCTTTCGATTCTTCAGCTTTGAAGTCCTCCCTAATCTCAGATTATACGTTTACAAACATACTCTTCAATTTTTCTGATCTTCCTTCGTAAACTGTATCCTTAAAGAGACTCGTTGGTTTCTCCAGAGACATCTGACACTTGCAAAAATCGATAATCAAGAATAAATTTAAAAAGAAATACTTGACAAACTATTTAATTAATCGACAATAATCTATAACGCAACGAGACCAACCTGGACATCTGAAAATTAAGATGCAAAGAGAATCTGGAAGAACGCAAAGTTAACGCGAATACTACAGAAAATAGTTGATAATTTAAATAGTTTCATCGAAACGTGTGCATTCAATAGAATCGGCGTTTCTCACGGTTCTACCGCGAAACTTTCAGAAACTCCACAATTGACGAAGTTTACAATCGACATTATTCTTGCATTCCTTTGATCGCCGTTGGAATCCGATTCCAATTTCCATCACTTCTGGATTCTCGATAGAATTTTAAGGATATTGCTGAAATCGTAAAGATATTGTTTAAAGAAAACAGCACGTAGCAAAAGGTTGCATATATATTATATATTCATTTCTCTGTGTTACTTACAATTTTAAATTCGTGAAGGTTAGTAATAGGTAGGAATATTGGAAAATTTGGAAATAAGAGTCATGTTAAATAACAGTTCCTCTCACCAATTGTGTTTCTTCCTCTAGACGACAAATAATGTGCATGATTAAGGCTGAACTATTGGTTAGACCACTTTACATATCAAACTCCCCCCTATATCGGCTTCGTGAAAAGTAATTTGACTAATTTTCTAATGATGCTCTTGTCAACAAACTCATATTAAGGTACTATATTTATGTGCTCGAAAATACCTTACCTTATGAGTAATTGAACAAGTTTGCAATTTACACCTCACTCGGCTTCTATTAGGTGCAAACTATCGTGGGACGACGAGCAGAATAATTAGCACTGTGACATTTTAATCAGTTCATTCAGTTCATCTGCTGAAAACACCACTTGACTCCACTAGCTGCAAGGATTTTTATTTTTGATCATTTTCTTACCAACTGGAATTACTAAAATGGAAACCTCCAGTCACATTTATAATTTACAGATGTAGTCTGAAATTTGTTAGTATTACGTAATAATTTTAAAAAATATTAAAATGACGATTTTCCCGCCATTTAAGAGAAATATTAATTTACTTGATCATTAAAAATCTCGTGCTGAATTTTATAACACTAAATTATCAGAAACACAGTGATCAGAAGTAATTCATCAGTTAGATTAATCAAGTTTCGATTGAATACGTAACGATACAAATTTCCAAAACGCGTAGTTGTATTCTCTCCTCGATATTGTATGAACATTGATTGATTTCTCTGTTTTGCGATATGGTATTAACATAGGCATAAAGAATAGAAGAAATAATCATAGTACTAGTTTCTTCGCGATACATGTCAAATCGTAGTTAATAATTCATAATTTTCGTGGTTAATTCGACAGAAAGCGAAACATGTTCCCCTACTTTACGAATGCGAGTTTCATACTGCGCATGCGTAATTCCAGGACCGTTCTTACCTATGGTATATCATGGTACATTAAATTCTTTAAACATTTAAAAAAATATTACTGATTGTAACATAAAATAACCATAAATTCTCCTACTTAAAATTTATGTATATTAACATTTATTCATGGTGATTCAACATAATATTTTTTTAAAATTTTAAAATTTGACAGACTATCTTGAGTACGTTGAAACTTGCTACTAAGCTATCTAAGAATATGAGATAGAATTCTTGATTCGTTCGTCATTATCTTCTCAACGAGTAAAAAACTTTTTCTTTTAGAGAACAGTGGTCTCTGGTCGCTAGGGACAGTACTGCGCGCCAGTAGACAGACCTCGCATTGAAGGCAGTTCTCTTCTCACAATGGGAGGTAGTTGTGGTTTTTCTTGGTTTTTCGTGTGGTTTGTGGTCTTCGTGAAACTCATCGAGTTTCCTGATATTTCACGAATGTGAATCCTCGACGGACACGGTGTCCAAAGGAATACGACTGTTCCCGAAGGATAGGAAGCGGCTTTAGTTTAACACTGGGCGGTGTCAGGTTAGGTTTCCAGGGTAAGTCGCAATACCAACACATACATAGAGTTCGTTGACAAGCCATTATTCCGATAAATTTTTCAAGTATTTGCGCTTGACGATTCGATCAAATATTTACAAAAGTACCTTAACCTATAAATGTAGTTTGCTAAAATGCGATTAGAAAGAGTTTAATTTATTTAATTTTTGAACAAGTTTGAAAATTTGTGGCAAGTAACAAGAAACTAGTTCATATTTTATTCGGAGTGTAAGTGTATTAGTAGCTTGGTTATCGGTTTTTCAATCTCTTATCGATATTGTGTATGAAATTATGTTGTTGGGTTACATATGGTGGAAGTTTATATCTCATATTGATCAAAATGTAAAATTTATTGGTATTCTTTGTTGCTGTAAATACAATTGTTCACAAAGACAATCGAAAAATCGAAAATCTAATTGACCGTACATTATTATTAAATTGAAAAGTCGACATTCCTATATTTAAATTTTATATCGTATTGCTCCAAGTAAACACCATATGCAATTTGTTATTATTATTAATAAATACCAAGTTTACAAATAAACGAAAATCATCGACCATCCAATGAATAAGCAAATACCATTGATTTTGTGAACAAATAAGCGTCACCGATTCTTTATGTATAGACAGCAAACCTTGTACATAAATATATTTCATTCTATTCATCAGAACAAATGTGAATTCATTAGTGAAAAGGTAACAAGAAGTTTTTGAATATTTGTTCACGTCAAAGTGGAGCTTTTAAATATTTTTAGAACAAAATGCGTTTCGGTGAATTTCCGATCCAATTGATCTGGAAAAATTCAGAAAAAGAGAAGGATGTTACGATTTATAGAGTAGTTTATTTAGTGGTACGAAAGTTGTATAAATTCGGTGAAGGTTGGCTAGCAGTTTCTCGCTGTATTACAGAAAAGTTTCTCGATCTTGGCATTAGACAAGGATGCACTGAGATATAATCCCTCGAACACATTCAATGCTTTCTAAAGTGTCTCGTTTCGTAAAGGGTTCCTCAACACTGGGATTTGCACTTTCATGGACTAATGTTTCTTACTTCTTCCGCTCGAAGATACGAACTCTTCCTGCGCTACTTTATCGACCGAGTCTCGAATTTTTAATTTTTCATACATTTCCGAAAAAATAAAATTTTATGTTGCATCGTTCAAAATATTTTTTAAATTAAACTTCAGTGACACTGATTGAAGAAATAACAATACTTTATCAACAAAATATTAATACACAGTTCATAAAAGCGTTATATACTGAATTTATTTAAAAATAGAGGGAGTTTGTATAAATGTTAGCTAGATTATCGACATTGAGAGATAATTCTGACATGGAAATTCTTTTGTCATATAGTGTTGAGTGTGCAGGGACGTAGTGGAGGGTTTATTCAGTGGTTTTCTTTTATTGTCGGGTAGTATTGAGGTGGTGAAAAATTCCAGAAATGGGTTAAACTCCGGAAGAAAACTTGGTCCAACCACTTTGCGTCACACTTTATTCTATTATTTTCAGAGAGTCGAGTTACGGGTCTGTTTCGGGCCACTTGTGACAAGTATAGTTGCTAGTAATTAGATTCTTTTGTTCTGTTCTCAAGCATCCGTCTTTTTTCCACCATCTTCCACTTTATGCCCTCCATGAACAACGTTTAACTCTAGCCTACATACTGTTTCCAAAAAAAAAAAAAAAAAAACAATTTCATTGTAAATTTAAATATATATTCATACATCATATTTAGTATATAACGTAATATTATATCTTATAGAACTTGAAGAAAGCATAAAATATAGATACCAGATACGTTATAAGGTACATAGTGTCAATAAAAAATTAAATTTTGGAAATATTATACTAACTATTTTTTAATTAATATTAATATATCAATATACGTATATTGATAATTATAATAATAATAATTAATTAATATAGGATTGATATATTAATTATTTTTAAAAATTGAGTTTTACATATAGTATATTGATTATTTTCAAATATAAGTAATTACATTAAATATAGCACTATGTTTTTTATAATTCATGAAAAGTTACAGATTATAAAGCTAGTACTAGCGTAATGAAATATTAAGTTTCATAAGAATAATATTTATCACTTTGAATAAATGGAAAATTTTTAACCTATTACAACTTACAAATTACAGAGCTACAATGTATACCCTTAATATAGTATACTTAGCTAATACCAACGAAGATTGTGCGATGAAATAGGTATGTATAATTGCCTAGCTGTTTCAATAATGGATAACATTAATTTCGCTAAAACTCCAATAGTTCGCGGTAAATGTAAATGGAGAAAATTTGAAATCCGCCATTTTAGCGGTTCTAGTAATTCTACTGTTAAAAATCGATTTTTATCCGAGAGATACATCTACAAATGCAATTTCAATGAAATTTTCATTTAGATAATCAGACTGTTGATACCGTCGACTTTTTCTTCTCTCTATCAGTAGAAAGATATATGCTCGCTGTTGGGATATATCGACTACGCTAAATACCTCCAGAACCCCCAGTCAGTCGTCCTCTGTTTGCATTTGCACTACGACTTCCATATAGGACAGTCCGGCACGAAACTCTCCGATTCCGGTGAACCGACAATGGTGAAACTGGTTATCTAATCTCTGTACAGCGAAAAGTGTACATAGGCGAATGGCGCGTACATGCAACGTGCTCGTTAATCGTGCACTGTTGCAAGAACGAGAAGGTAGTATCCCGGTTGGTGTAACGTAGCTTAACACTGTAACCCCACTCTTTCTCATTTCGCCAAAGCAAGTCTGCGCGTTCGTGAAGCTGATGGTATCACATTCGTAGCTGTATTTTAACCCTTTGCACTCGGCGACATTTTCGTAACAGAAAAATAATTCCCAAATTTTCCCCCCATAATCGACAGTATTTTATTGAAATATTAAACAAGAAGTCGTATATGAATTCGCAGGTAAAACTATTTTATTCCAATATTCTGCGCGTTGGTACACTATTTTAGAGTCGACGTGTTAATTAATATCGATCTCTGGAATTTTATTAAATGGCGACCAGAGGTCATCCCTCGACTGCAAATGGTTAAACGCTTCTGAATATTACGTTTTTAACTCATCTCTGCGACCAGTACTCCGGTAATCTAATCACTTTATAGTTTTCTAGTTATTGATAATGTTTCTCTGTTTTCAGAAAGGTGAACTAATAAATCGCAGAGCTGTCTAGCTTGGTGGGTTGCGTCTCGACGATGGCCGACGACGAAGAGCAGGAGGAGTTACGGTGCACAGGAAGCGACGTCGAGATCGAGGAGTACACCGACACCGAGGACTCACCATATGTCGCTTATCAAGCCACTGATAAGCTGTTCGATACGGACAAGGCGACCTGGCAAAAATTCAGCTTCCTTGCTACCCTTCTGACCGTTGTCGTATCCATTACCTTTTTGATTATCACCTATCCCCTTTATCTCGAAAATGTCAGCTACGTGTCCAACGCCTACACAGGTATCCATGAAACGATGGATAATGTTGATTTTAATCCTTCTACATAGGCAATTTTAATATGCTTTTATTCCTCTTTGTCGACTTGGCACATTCTCGTCATTGGCAAATTATGTGTTCTTTATATCGTACATATATAAGGGTACACGATGTAGAATTATCTTTTATACTTTTATATGTGTACGTCAGCCTTTTAACGAACGAATTCGATACTAAGTCCTTTAAAGTCATCAAAGATCGAGTAAGCAAAATTTATTGTCAAATTTTCAATTAGATTGAAATGTAATATTCTGTTTAATTCATAAATTTGATTGACGTTTGGTTTAATTCAGGGTTTATTGTTAAAAATGTTTCTCTACTTTAGGACTTCTTTTCACTGCCTTCTGCTCTGCTTTCATCCTGGGCATTATATGCTTCATTGTGGGAAGAGTATCTCCACCACCAGTTCTGATCCCAAACAGCATGCGAATCAAGATCCCTCGTTGTGCCCTACTCAAAATCAGTTTCATTTATGCACTCTCTGGTATAGTGATCACACTTTCTTTGGACCGGGACAGGGTTCTGTGTCATTTACAGGATCCCATAAAGGGTATCACCCTGGTGTTCTCCCTAGTCTACTATTTCTTCTTCTGTCGCAAAAGTAAGCCCAAAAATTGTATTATCTCCACACGAAAAATGATCGATAACCGCTTGTTGCAGTGATGAGCTTACAGAGGATCTTTTCGAGCACCACAATAATAGTGGGCTTGTTCATAAGCGTGGATTATGGCCTCTGTGATGAATTTCGATGTAGAGGACGTGAAGTTTCAGCTCACACCACGACTTTGAGAGAATCCTGGGGTGTGAAAGCTATTTGGACGTTCGTTTATGTGGGTGCCCTTGCTGCTTTTGCTATGTTCTTCACTCTGATTGAGGCCCATTTTGCCACTGAGGTTAGAGTTTTATAATTAATTAGGGAAAATACACAAGACAGCATTATACTGTGTATGCAATGAAATTTATATTAAATTTAAATACAATCAGAAAATTGTTCTAAATAAACAATTCCTTTAAAAAAGATGCATATTTCTCATTTTTTTTAGCAACACAACATATGTCAAATAATGGCTAATCAACAGAACTCTTTCCTGTGTACGGTTTCAAGATTGGTATCTTCCCGAGAAATCCGCCGACGAGGTTCTGACGAAGAGGAAGGTAGACTACTCCATGTGACAGATCCTGATCCTGCAATAAAGTCGAAGCACATTCCGAAACCTCCAATTCTTGAAACCCTTTTCTACATTCATTTAATCGCCTTCTTCGCCATTCTGTCGATGTCTTGGATTGACACCTTACCAGGAATAGGCAGGGTAAGTTAGTTAAATCAATCTATGTATAGAAATATAGATAAAAGTAATTTTCTTCTTTTTCAGGGATTATCTCCAGTAGAACTATACCGTACTGTAGAGCATGGACTTACGTGTCATTTTAAAAGTAACGAATCCTGCTCAAACATTTCTACCCACGGCTGGATTTTCTTAACTGCGTACATAGTCTTTTCGATTTCTGTGTTGAACTTCCTGTCTATGTGTGAGAGCGCCGTTTTTACAGTTGCTACCGCTACTGTGTCTCTGCCATTGTCTGGTATTTGGTGGAGTATTTACAAGATGGACGTTCATGGCGGTGAGTTAAATATCATTACAGTAGAATAAATATCTTTTTTCATTGTTACATCCATTTTGCCCCATTACCAGATTAATATTTGTAGAACGATTTAATAGTCGTACTGATTTTGTTATCGTATTATATTCTTCGCGGTGAAACACTACTTGCTACAAGAGCAATTAGAATTCTCAAATGAGGGATTTCAATAGGTTTCATTACTTGGTCCCCTGGAGTGACGGGAGAACTTATCTGTGCATTGCTGGGTCTTCCCGTAGTCCTTCTAGGCTTGGGTCTTCTTGTTAGATCACACTTCCAGGATACACAGCCTTGTTACTTAACCATGCAACCACCAGACGTGCAATATGAACCTTCTCAAAGATGAACATCTTTTAGAAAGTCATCTTAAGCCTTCCTTTGGAAGGTATACTAGTCTCTTCATAATTATCTCCGAAACACGAAGAATCCACAACAATGATGCTACAAATATTTATTTGGACGTTATATAACAAAAAAAAATTTGACGTCAATATGTTATAGTAATTAAAAAAGAAAAATAGGAAATAATAAGGGAAAAGAGAATACTCCGGGAGAAAGTCCATTCAACAACACGTGCAGAAAAGATTCTGGAATCGACTTAGGATAGTAATCTAATTAATTTCCAATATCGGAACAGATTTGCTTTGTATCGTTTCAACGACCCAGATAATATAGATGTATGGATGCTATAGAAAACAGTCGATTGCACTGGATTTACGGAGTATCGTCTCTAGACGTTGGAAACAAGCTTTCTGTGCGCAATTGTGATAAAAGAGGTGATGTGGAGTCAGGGGAAGCGATAATATCGATTATCTCGTACACACGAAATAGCGAGAAAGTGAAAAAGAGAAAGGAGGAGAAAGGAGAGAAGCGATCTATGTTTCCTATGTAATTTGCCAGCGAGAACATCCGTCTAGTCACACAACGTTATTGCCGATTTATATTTTATTTTGATAACGAGAATATTTTATATTTTCGAAACAGAGAACGTTCGAATTACACGTGTTGAGAAAAAATGTGTGTATATGTGCAAACGTGTGAATGAGTATAACTAAAAAAAGGAAAAAGAAACAAAAATACGGGAGATATTTTATAATGTCAAGATTAATAGTGTGGCGCTGGATTGAAAGTTGCATAATATTGAAATATGATATTGTTGCCATATTAAATGAACCTAATAACTAAAATTGGAAATCTAACACATCTGCGGAAATATGAGGAAATGGCTCAATTCAATCTCCGTATTTAAAGATTGTTATACTGAAATATGCTATTCATGAACATCGATCGTTACCTTTGATTTATGATACAATACAACAGTAAATTACGCTAATTTTTACCAAGACTTAGAGGAATCAAGACAAAATGCAATAACACACAGTGTCATAAACCAGATGGCAACCATTCGGTGAAAGTTTGCATTCCTACGCGAAAAGATTTTTCCTCGCGCGGATTTAATTAGATAATGGACAAGCCGAGTTGTCACCTAATTTTCGGCACTACTTTGAATTTGTCAACTTCATTTCTTGAAGTTGGTGGAAAGAAAGTGAGACTACAAACAGAATGCACCTCTTCTGACTGTTAACAAAACTCATCAATTGTACAAGTTTCTTATTAGAATAAGCGGAATAAATAAGGAGAGATAGCTCCTTAATTACGCATTTGAATTCAAAGTAGACTGATTCCACGAAAAAAGATCGTCGTGCATTCGCCTTATTGGCAACGTCACAAGTTCAATTTAAATTATATTCGAAAAACGAATACCTACAAATTTCGATTTTGAAAATATTTCTAAACGCTGTATTGGGAGTAGGACTATTTTATTTAACAGGTATACAAAAGGAAAAAATTTCGATTTTATAAAATTTCTGAGATATTTGAACTATACAAATTTTACTAGTTAGCAAGAAAACAATTTCCTGTTTCCCGTGATTTTGTAATGTTTTATTTTTGCTTCGTACATACATGGGTAATATACATAGATAAGTACATTTGCCAAAGACAAAAGAAGAAAAATGTTGAACAACAGATTTTTCAGTATTATAAATAAAGTATAAGCGCGAGTGTGTGCTTGTGAGTATATGTGAGAGTACAATATTTACACATTTACAGAATAGTATGGTACACGAATAAATTCGAACTAGTCAGACAAACTTGTTTCAGACGAGTTCCTGCTCAATAGAACGTCTGAATCGATACCAACGCAAATTGTACAATCCTTGGTATACTTTTATAAATTTAATTCATAAAGAATCTTCTCACTTTTCTTTACCATTTTTATTTATTGCAATTATTTTATTGACATTGCGTGTATAGAATATTTCTAAAATATTAATGTTTGAAGATAGGTCCATGAGTCTTTTCATGTGTACGAACCATTCTAAATTAAATAACGTTTAAGATAACAAGTTAGACCAACAATTATTCCAAGATCTTAATTTTCATAAAAATATATACGTACTATCGAAATATTTTAAGCTTGTAATTTTTACAAGTATATTTCACAAATTGATCAAATGTTTTAGAAATACTTCATGTTGATAAGTGTATATATAGGTATACATGTACTTAATTAACAGAGCATTACGACGGCTCTGTTAAAATGATTTTTAGAGATATCTTTTTTTCTATGATTAGTATCTAATGTTCCGGATATTGCGTTTCATTTTAGATCGATTAGAATGAATCGTTTCTCCATTACTAACATTCCCGCTCCTCCTTCTCCCCGGACTGACTTACAGAGTCCCAAAAGCTGATCAAAAATCGTTGTCTGTGCAAAATCAAAAATAAGAAGAAAAAAAAAAGAAAAAATTCGAAAGCAGCTGACAGAAAAATTGTAATATTCGTGCCAAACAATACCGATTTTCTAGTCTTTAGTGGATGTAATGACTCGTGTAAACGATAGTTGATAAGTATTCACTAGACCCGCATTGAGGATAGAGAGACACAAATATACATGCAGCAAGTATTGTGAATTAATTGTAGTTTGTTGTTGACCGATTTTGAGATGGTAGAAACGTAAGAGAAAGAGAAATATTCGTTGTTGGAAATATGTCAATCATATTTTATCGCAGAAGCTATATACGTCCATGACTTTTTTACACTGATAATAAGCGTTGCAAGTGTAATTTGTAACAGGAATACAAGAAAAATGGACTTCAAATGATTTTCGTTGTATCTGTTTCATCGGTTACCATCGATATGACGTGAGCCTGTTATGACTCTATTACGCCATAAACGCCATATGAAAACTCTTATACTAGCAGGCGGTGAATAGTATAGTTTGAAAATATAATTACACAATTTCGAATAGTCTAATTTTTACTTCGCGTTGTTACTCTGTTTTGAAACTGATAGTAATTATTTTGCTAATAATTACTTCTTACATCGTTATTTCCATTAATCGTTAAGTCCATTTCTCTTCTAGTCCTGCCATAGCTGCTATAATAATAAACGACGAAACGGAAGTAACAATAATGAACGTACTACTAGTATATTATTACACTATAGTTGCAGTATTTAATCACATATATATATATACAGGTATATATTAAGAGAAATCATATTATACAATTATGAAAGCGATAAGAAAGAAGCCTGTTTCAATGTGTAGCTATCTTAACCGACAAAATGTAAACTGAGTTACACAGTTACGAACAAAGAAAATGATTCTAAACTTTTTTAAAAAAACAGCGAAATCGAAGAAATAAGTTGCTCTGGTTTACAGGAAAAGAAATTGAAGAACTTGGTGAATCCAAAGTTACGTTTAGGTGATTACAATATCTATAGAAGCGAAATGAAATGAGGAATAGGGAATTTGTTAATGCTTTTGAATAATTCATTTTTAGCGAATCATTTTCGTTGTGTCTTCACGCAATGAACAACTGTTTTAATTGTAAATCAAGTAGCTGGTCAACCCTTTCAGGCCTCCCACTATAATTATTCAATAAGATGTTATTCGATTGTTGTTATTACAAAATGTTGAAAAGAACGAGAATATATTCTGTATACAGTCTCGATTGCTGGCTTTCTGATACTTAGTGATTTATTTTTTTATAAAACGCTCATGACCTTGAAGGGCTGACCATTTGAATAAAAACCAACCAGTTAATGATCGAGAAAATATACTTAACTCGTTAAAAAACCACTGTTACATTTATCTGGTTGGTTGTGGTTGAATATTTTTATAAGTAGTGCATTCTTATACTGGTTAATAGAGTAAATTAGTGTGCGACATACTAATTAATGCGAACCGAAACGCGTATTCGCATTTCTTTCAGATAGACGCTTTATAAAACTTAAAAAAAAAAAAAAACTATTTACCAGCGATCAGCAGTGCCGTATATATACACACATAATATATACATATATATATATATTTATACTGGGTGTCTTCCCCGTGGATATAACGTTAACTACGACATTTCGTAGCTCGTATTCAGTAGAATCTCGACTTCCTGTTTGCCGAACCGATTTTATAGTTCTTTCCTTTCATTGATTTTCTCTGATACCATTGAAAGTCGGAAAATTATTTAATATCCCCGTCATTTCACATTGATTTCTACGAGAAGTTCAATTTTTGATGAAATTTTTTGACATCCAGGAAGTTGAAATTTTTAAACGAAGGAATCCAAAATTTTGATGAGGGAGCGTGATGAAATTTATATATATATATATAAACTTCGTGACTTGGATTTCTCTTCATAAAATTATGAAAATCAAAACATTTTTTATCACGTTGGTTTTTAATGTGAGAACAAGGACAGTTTGATAGAAAAAGGAAGAATATAACCACACCTCCGTTGTCGGTATTTGGATTCATAATTACGCTCAATATACTTACTATAATCAACAATTATGTACTGGATTGTAAATGTGTTAATACATACATATATATACTTATATAAAAAAGAAAGGTAAGAGTCGTCGTATAGAGCTTCTTATCACTTGTCATTCATTCGTTGGAATAATAAGGTGGGTTAAGTTACCGAAAGCAAGTTTTTAACCGACTAACGAAGTTAATTATGTAGTCACAAGACACTCATGAGATAAAGTACAATCTCTTCACTGTGGGACTTGGAATTCATCTCAAGAGTCCTCGTGCAGATTCCATCACCGTTCTTTTCCCTAGAGAATCCTTTTAGTATCTCGTAAAAGACACCTCTTAGAGATGAAACTTCCAAGTGTGCAATATTATTTTTACTTTTTACCATTTTGTTTCTCAAACGCGATATACAACGAAATTAAAGAAAAATAGTTTGGTGCGCTTATAAATCCAAAAACTATAACAAAGTATTTACTTTCTTCAATTTATGAACATTTCTGACAGGATAAGTACCATTTATTCGCCATTTCAGGTACAGTTCTCATACACGTAACTCTCCACACTAGCAGATTCACTACAGTACACATTTTCCACTGATTTTCACTACTACACCACGTTTCCCGCTCGTTTACAGCTTCAGAGCCTGCAACCTGGCTGTTTTATGGACGCTTCCTATCCTCTCGGACATTTTTCTGCCAGCGAAAGTATAGTCATCGTATCGAATTTCGCGTAAACATTTGAAGTTCAATTGGTCCGCGATTTTTTGACTATAGTTCGAGGCGAATAAACCAAAAATCACCTCTGGGAGTACGTGTTGGTCTAGGACACTTCCGTCGATCGAAGTCCTCTTCATTGTACCGTTCAAGAGCCCTCGACCGAACTCGATGCAATTCTGTACCATTTGTCGGCCGATCCCACGGCCTTGATACCGTGGATTGGTGCCAAGATAGAACAGCTCCATTGCTCCTTTCGTGTCGTAGCTCTCAAAAATATCCACGCTGTTCTGAATCTATCGTGGAATCAAGTGAAACTAATCTTACTCTTCGACTCCTTTAGAAATTCAGGGAATAATACTTTAATCGACATTAGAAATACGTATAGAGCCTCAAAGCCTGGAACTGAAGCCTCTGATGCTGACAACGCAATTAGCGAGTAAATTGAAGCCGACACTCGATCTAAATTAAGCAATTCAGCCAATAACCAAGAAACACTCACGTCATCGAGAAACTTCACCAGTTCTCTGCACGTTCGGTACCTCAGATTCTCCTCTATGAACACCTCTAGCTCATCCTTCTCACCTGCCCTCGGTTTTGCCTTTAGACAGACACAGATGTTTGATGAAAAGCGCAAGGAAAGATTAACGATACCGAAATTAGGGAAGACCTAGAAATTAGCTATGAAAAATGGTAGAAATGAATAAGAACTTGCATGAATCTTGTTAAACGCCACTGCTACCAGTTCGTCTGTCTTCTTGTCAACTGCGACCAACGTTGTACCATCCTTGATGATTTCTCTAAAGAGCAGGTTCATTTCTTCCGGGGCACCATCCTCTTCGAACATCCCCAAACCTATTGCTAGGTTCTCCAGTTTCATAGTTTCAGCCTGAATTGCCAGGGCATCTTCAACCTTGTCTTTGGTGAGCAGTTTATACTCTAGTTCGTTCTCTGACTCGGAAGACATGATTGAAATGACTGAAAAAATTGCCAGGTGATTAAATTAAGATGTATAAATGTATATATATAAATTTTTATGTTAACTGCGCTATATAGTAGCCAGATTGTTACTTATATCGAGTGTTAAAGGTCTTCGATTCTGTTACCTTCTGTGTTGATAGAGTGATAGGGAGATATGAGACACCACGTGCTGAGACGACTGATAACGATAATTTCGTGACGGATAGTCCAGTATTTGATAAAAACCGCCAGATCTTCTCGCCAACACATACGCTGGCAGAATGAAGCTAGGTTCAAGTAGTTTGTTCCAAGCGACCTACACTCTATTAAGGCCTTTGTTAGTACAGCTCTAGTGTCTTGATAAGCAGACTCAACTTAATTCTTCAGTGTTCATTTAATGCATATTCGGGAAACGTGTTTGTTATCTATTTAAAAATTAGAAAACCCCCATTATCTTTTACATAAGTTTCAACTTTATAAGATTGCAATAGCTGTATCGATTGCGCTGAACACTTGTGAGCGACAAGAACGGGAATAATTGAAAAAAGAATTGTTAAAATAATTTTTTTATTGTAGAGAATCTCTGTGTAATAATACTTGGATAATACTCCTTATTTCGACGATAAAATTATATGCTTTTAGTCAGTATCTCTCACTGATTACGCAAATTGTTGTCAAACGTACTATGTGTTTCCTTATCGCGTGTTCGAAGCTACCATGCTGAAGTTGATTAAGCCAATCAGACTAACTTGATAACGCAAGGTCATGGTATTACATAAATAGGAAGCCGTACTATGATTTTCTTCATATTGAGTACAATTTGATGTAAAAAAATACATCTTTTATATCACAAAAAATAGAGATCTCGGAATTTGTAAAGATAAAGCTATCAGTATTAATTATCCCATAATAAATTAGTGTTTTAACAATTAGGTTTAAGCTACGATAATCTTTTAGCCACAAGGACGCAATTTAGGTGCTCATTCCCTATCCTTTCACTGAAAGTCTTTCCACTAAAATAGAACTCTTCGTAGCTGACTGAAACCAGTTTTTCAAATCCACACTTTGCCGCAATCTTTTGCGAATAATTGGACGTCATGATTGCAGACACTAAGTTAGGCGTTGCGTTCAGGTTCTGTATAGTATTGTCTCCGTTTATCGTGACTGATATTTTGACAGCATTGCCCCTTTTCAACTCTTTTGCTACCTCTATGGATGCACACACCAACAGCTCTCCTATTCTACGCTTCTGATTACCAGGTAAAGTGGCCAAAAACATGACTTCAAAGAGGCAGTTTGTGTTATAGTGCTTAAATAAATTTATCCTTGCATCCACATCGATCATAAAATCCACCAGGGCCTTTGAAGACCTATGCTTACACCTTTCACTGAACATCTCGAAGGCACTTTTCTCTGCAGGGTTATTCAGTACCTAAACAGCGATATTGATCCTTTTTTATTATTTTCGGTAATTGAAAACAATATGGTTTCACCGTCTCTTCGTATTTTCTCCACTTTTCATTTTTATTTACCTGAATTTTATTAAAAGCCACCCCAATAACTTCCCCAGTGTTTACATCAATTGCCACCAAACTAACTCCATCCTTGGCTGCATCCAAACAGAGTTCTTCGAGTTCTTCCGATGCACCGGGTTCTGAAAGCAGGTCCACACCTTTGGACACACTCTCATAGACGAAAAAGCTCTTTCTTATAACATTCAGGGCTCCTTCGAGAGTGTCGTTTGTCAGGGATTCGAAGTCAACGCTCTCATCTTCCGTGGAGCCCCAGACCCGATACGATGGCATTCTGTTTTGTTTCCTAAACGAAAATCAAACGGAGCCATTAATAACGATCATCTAAAAATATTTACACCGATCACGATAATAAAATGACACGAACAATGTCTAAATAATATAACTTCATATTTGCCTTCCTTTGTTAAAATGAAAATTATTTCAATGGAAGAAAATTTCTTCAACTACTGCAAACGAGAAATGTATTTGGAATTTAATTAAATTTAAATCATTCTATATTGAAACAAATTTTCCATTAATTACTAATTAAATACGAGACTATGATTAATCGATAGAAATAGAATACTCGGTTCTTTACTATTTCTGCTTACCTCATTTTGGAAGAGAAATATCGCAAACTACAGTGAATCACAAACACTATACTGACTCTGATCAGTCGACTCCCTGAGAATATAAAGCAGCTTAGCACAAGCGATTATCGAGTTGTCGACCATGAGTGCAGCGTATTGCGCTAAGGCACATTAGCAATGCTATCGTATTCTACGTACATTAAAACTTCTTCAACTTTTCCATCCTCCAATTTATCACCATATCGTAAAAAATTCCCGTGCCGAGTGGCGGAACGAGATTTGAACCAAAAAAAAAAAAAAAGAAGGGAAGGAAGGAAAAAAGCTAAACAAGTGGTAAAGAAGTTTCCAGTTTCAGATTATTCCACCAATTAGAAGACTTCGATCTGTTATCGAATGTGATTAATAATTTATAAAGCGAAAGAGTACCGAGAAATTCTTCGGGGTCGAATGAATCCATTATGTCCGACAACAATGCAAGATAGTGATGGAGAAATATGATATATGCGAGTCCGTGACTGTAAGAGCATGTGCCAACTAAAGAGGGCATGAAAATATATCCCAGATAAATTTAATCACTCCACAGGTTGTTTAAACAGTCATTAACTATGTAGAAGCTAATTTAATTAGATAATGGAGAACGTCTTTATTGGATGGTGGTTATCAACCTACATTAGTAATTGTATGTTTGCTTATTCAGATTTCTTTATTAAGACAGAGATAACTATTTTTGGTCAACGTGTCAATGAACTGCTCGTTCATCGATTTCGATGATTTTTTTAATTTGTTGCATTCGAAACAATTTCTTCGTTTGCATTATTGCATATAATATAGTCTTGGCTGCGGAGATATTTGGGGAAAAGTTTCAACATCATACTCGTACGTGGATGCCAGTGGCAATGTTAGTTCATTGGTACACGATCGCTACTTACGTACTGTTTCCCAAAAACCGCTACCAGCAGTCCAATGTATATAACGGGTGAACTCGTCAGAAAGGTATCACATGCTAGATTCAAACAGGACTTTTCTCCAGCTTTTCTTGATGTATAAAGAACCCCAAAGATCGCTGCCGACTTTCACATCGTACAAGCCAAACAAAAACAATTTTGACACTTGGATGAATATCAAAATCTAACCTAACTTAATCTTGAGGTAAATATAGAATAGGATATTCGGTCTAACTATAAGCGATGATCAGTTTGTTTAGGTTTATTCGGGAAGTGGGTGCAGAGGAAGAAAATTAAAAAAAAATTTTTAACAACTTATACGACATTAAAATCAGCAGTGTATTATAGTCTATACGCCAATGTTTCTAATGAGAAATACTCGGTATATAAATAATCTACCAATCTTTTTATACATCACGAAGGGAACTTTAAAGAAAATCCCGCTGAAATCCATAATGTACCTTTCTGACAAGTTCACCCGTTATATACAGTGTTTACAGAAATAGTAGATAAGTGACAAACCTATGATGGCGCTCCACAAGCGCGCATATTATAGACAGTACGTTAGTATAGTGTTGAAAGCTTTTTACAAATATCTCGAAACTAAGACCGACCATTTCTTATGTGCAAAGGAGAAAGTTATTCCAAATCTTCGCGTGTATAATATAGTCAAAAATCATCAAAAATGGAGGAAAAGAAGTACACTGACGAGTTCAGTGTTCATCGTCAAAGGTTCGCCAAATTACGAATTAAAATAATATTTGCTTTACATTTACTACAGATGTGAAAGATTTCACGAACTGTATTATCGCACACTTTATCATCAGAAATGAAGGTGATATAATATCTGATGACGAAAGTTAGAATTCAACGAAGTTTAAATTGACTAGCGGGAAAACCTGTCGATAAAAGCCCAAACGTGATACGATATCAGATATGCTGTAACTGCTTAAAATCAACAAATCACGAACATCCTATTTTCTTAAATTTATAGTACAAAATACGAAAATTTGTATTAATGAAAATTTTGAAAAAAATTACTTACGATAATATCTTCTGTCCTTCGCTATGCAGTCGTAGGTATTTTTGGATTTCGAAAGATTTTAGAAACTACCGTTTATAACGTTTTCATAACATTCTAACGAGCAACGTTTAACGAGTTCGATACGCGGAACTTTAAATATAAAGTCCTGGAGGTACTTCCCAAGTCGAGATATCGATAAAGAAGGTTGTATAGCCGATGTTATCGTGTGCTATGACAATATAGAACGAGAAATGTTTCTTAGAAAGCCAGAAATTACAATGGAACTACTTTATAATAAAACATATACAGATATGTTATGTACATAGAACAAGGAAAGATATCAAAGAGTGTTGAAAAGATAGTGATTTAATTACTTATATAAATAATTGATAATGAGCATAATTTATTGTAACAAGTGGAAATTTGATATCGATTCACGAATTAGTTGATTTATTAGTTACATTTACTAAAATTAGTTTGCTGTAAAACAATACGTAATAATTATTTATGCTAAATAAGAATAATGAAAATCTGTATAGTTAATAAACTCTAAAATAACAGCTATATTATTATAATATTAGGCTATATAAATTATGTTAGTTTAATATCGTGTGCTTGATATCAGAAATATATACAACATTTTTACAATGAAGGCGATTGCATACAAATCTCGATATATTTAAAAAAGCCCTAATTTATTTGAAGAACCATAACAGAAACAATATTATGCGGCGGAGTGTCCTGAAAGATAGGTCTGCCATTGTCGTCTTTGTAATTTAAAAGATCCACATCCAGAATACTTTTTAAGCCAACTTTTTGTGCCGCTTTTCTTGAATACAATGACGTATACACTCCAAATACGAACCCGACATCCTGAAGGCTTCTTGCGAAAGAAATTCCTGCAGTCATCAATTTCCTCGAAAGTCCTTTTCTACGGTAATTCTTATCCACAGCGATTGCATAAAATTCTACGGCTGCCTTAAAACTTGGAAATTTTTCATATAAATCAGCCCTTTCACTAATTTCACTTAAATAATGGAAATATTGTTTCATTAATCTATTGGTAGGGGGATTATTACTGAATGCCGCGGAAACACCATCAGCGCCATCATGGTACTTCGGATTCTTGCTAACTATCATCAGATTCACACCAATTATCCTTTTAAATGATTTTTCTACCGCTATAATGCAAGGTGAAAAAGTAAAAATCGCTCGTATCAGTTTTTCATGATCAATTTTCATTGATTCTTTTTCCTCAGCTGTCATTGGGTTCTTATCTCTCAAACTTTTCAACATAGTCTCTTCCATATCAAAATTTTTATGTAAGAAAAGTAAAATTTCTGATAAATGTGTATCGTTTGCCAATTCGAGAACATAAAGATCATTATATTGTTGCATTTTTATATCAAAATTTTAAAAACCAAAATAGAAACAAAACAGGGACCTTCTTTACCATAATATTTTTATTTCAGAAAGTTCGTCTGAAACAAAATTATATATTATATTCTGATCTTTTATTTTGATATATTGTGACCAATTATATTATAATTTTTTATACAAACAGCAGAAAATGTTATAACACAATTCTTCTCAGAATTAGGTCTCTAATGAACCTAAGTACTTACAATATTCGAATATAAATTCTTGAAAAGTAGCATACGTACTATGCAGAGCTGATAAGTCGTCGAGTGGGATGACACTAGGATAACTCTGTTTCACTCGCTCCATCTATCCCTACTTTACCTCATACAATGGCACGTGTTGGCATGTAGTAGGATTAAGAAGGAGATATTGTTATTGAAGAAGCTACGGGACGAGAACGATAGATTCCGCCAATGTTGCATCTCACGCGATCTCGAAACTTGACTATCCCCTCTTTGTTATCTAATTCTATGGTATTAGTAACGAGAGCAACCAATAACAAAAATGCGTGAGAAAGGATAGGTATACTCTATTCTAGCCAATCAGTTAGACTCGCCAACTTACTAGCTGTGCATAATACTAGAGATACTATAACTTTATGGAGTTCACGAAGAGTTCTAATTGGTTGATATTAGAGAATAAATCATAAGACGTTCATTCATAAAAGATGCGATTAATCTTAACATATAGACAGGTATATTAAAATTAATGATTTTTATATTAATGAAAAAATTAATAATATAAATTTTTAAACGTTTAGGAATCTGTAAATGAATAAAAAATTGGTAATGAAAAGTTGATAATTTGTAACATTCAACATTCTGATCGCAATAGGTAGAAAACTTAAAACCTATATTTAAAAGAATATGAAATCATGAGATTAATAGAATTTACATTAGGAAATAAGTGGATATAATTATTAATGTAATTATTTACGTCTTATTTTCGAACATGCTCTTACATTTTCGCGGCAGAGCATGCAGCTGCGCGTGCGCACGCCAGGCGCGACAACAAAATAAGATGGCTGACCAACGAAACAAATAGAGCGCCGTTGTAAATAACAATTCATTCAAGCACATTTCGAAACAGGATTTCTTTAAAGAAAAGGTAGTGCACGGTACTCTTGGAGCGCCTCGGTGTCGGTGCTTCGTGTTTCCACGGTGTGGAATTGTTTGAGCGACGGGCAACCTGCAGTCGCACATTCCAAGCCACGATTCACCGTTGAATGCGTCACGCGTGTACACGAGAATTGAGGAGAGCAGTAAAGGAAGAAACAAGCTGAGGATCATACATTGCCAGGATGCAATTGCGAAAGCGAGGTTACCTCGTGTCACATCTCCGCTTACGGCTCGCCTAGCTCCTCATGCTAGTCTCGTCTTCCGAATTGCTTGGAACACAGCATGAAGGAGATGCTTGGAGGGTGCTGCGTGTGTTCTGACGAGAGGGGTTGGACTGAAAATCCACTGGTGTATTGTGATGGCCAAGGTTGTACCGTTGCTGTACACCAAGGTTTGTTTATTACATTAACTTTAATCATGTATAAAGTCATATGTTTTGAACGAGGGAATTCAATTATAGTTTTATACTCCACTGATTTTACAGCTTGCTATGGAATCGTTACAGTACCTACAGGTCCTTGGTACTGCAGGAAATGTGAGTCACAGGAACGTAGTGCACGTGTGGTAAGTTTCATGAGTAAGTGCTTTGAAAATTATATTATTTAAATGACTCTTGAATTATGTAACAGCGCTGCGAATTATGCCCAAGTCGAGATGGAGCTCTTAAAAGAACAGATCAGGCTGGATGGGCACATGTGGTCTGTGCACTTTATATACCAGAAGTTAGATTTGGTAACGTGACAACAATGGAACCAATTATTTTACAATTGATACCATCTGAAAGATTCAGTAAGGTAAAGAGTTTGTTAAAACAGGTTTTCAATTATTATTTAATTTGAAATATATAATATAATCATTACAGTCATGTTACATATGTGAGGAACAAGGGAGAGGTAGTAGAGCAAATGTGGGAGCCTGTATGCAGTGCAATAAGACTGGCTGCAGGCAGCAATTTCATGTTACTTGTGCTCAGGCTCTTGGCTTGCTCTGTGAGGAAGCTGGCAATTATCTAGATAATGTTAAATATTGTGGATATTGTCAGCATCATTACTCAAAATTGGTTTGTATCATATCACTTTAAGAAATCTTCACAAAATTCAATTAATAGATTATTAAGTTAATAGAAATAATCTTATTATTTTGCTTACAGAAAAAAGGTGGTAACGTTAAAACAATACCACCTTACAAGCCAATACCTGCTGATAATGGCTCATCAGATTCGTCTCCTGAAAAGGAAGCAGAAACCCCGATAAAATCTTCGTCAAGTGGTAAACGAAAGAGTTCAAGTTCCAAATCCGCTACAAATTCTAAAAACAAATCGAATACTAGTCCAAGTCTAGAAATAAATGGCATTGCTGACGACAAAAACAGTAGCGGCCGTAATACACCCAAAGACAACACCACAAATTCCAGTAAATTCACCACTTCCAACTTCGTAGAAACGATCGTCACCCAATCGGAGAGTGTGTTCGGACATGACGGCACCACGTCTACCACTGCCGCAGTGGCCCCAACAACCATTAAATCCGGATCAAACTCGAGCTCCGGTCACAAAAACAGTGGGCAAATGAAATCGAACTCCTCATCGTCGAACAAAACTTCGAGCCACAGTAAAAAAAGAAAAACAGGGGCACGAACGCCAACTGTAATAGGGAATGAAAATTCGAATCAGTCAGTCAGCTCTGAAGCCAGCGGTTCTGTTGTGGTTGCTGTGAGTTCTGTTGTACAACAAGCTGTGTCAAGCAATAACCTGCAGACAACCATAACAGAAGCGACGAGCTTAAGTACGACTACCGAACCAGAAAAGTCAAAAAAGGTACATAATGATTCACAAAAAAGATTTCATTTCGTAATGTCGTATTTTAATATAGTTTATATTTTAAAATATTCTTGTCAAGGTGAAAGTTGAGAGTCCTCTTCAGTCATCGCCAAGTGCTCCAGTCACTACAGAAGCAACTACTACACCTGTGATAATGGCAGTAACGCAATCTCAGTCATTGGTTGTTACCCAGTCACCGACAACTACATCAAATAGTATAGTCGTATCTGTTCCATTAACGGCAACTTCGTTGTCTAGTACCGTTCAGAGTGTGGTAACAAGTGCTCCAACACTGTACCAGCAGCTGCAACAAAGTATCATAACTACTGCCGCTATGACAGAACCCAGAACGAGTGTTATGTCGAATTCTGAAAGGTTTGCCGCGGAAGAAGCTCCTGCCAAGAGATCGCGGTAAGTTCGAATTAAATTTTTGGTACTAGTGTCATTTATAATACACATTTAACAAAAACAACGTAATAATAATTATTGTTATTATTTGTTATTTCTTATTAAGAATTAATAAGCAAAATAATTATTTTGATAAAATAAAAAAAGTAACAAATTTACGATTCGTGTTTTGAGTGCAATTTAAAATGCGCGCCAAAACTAAAGGCATCAAAATGGCTGACTTACTGGATAAACAAGCCCTTTTGTTTTTAACCTCTTCTTGCGGTTCGTAAAAATTATTCAGGTAGAAAAATCTTATTGTGTATGCATTTATGATAGTATGCAAAATATCGTTTCATTAGGACGCGACTGCATTATTTAAAATCTTCGGGAAATATAGTGACGATTGGAAGATGTCCGCGGCTATGTTATGGGTTGTACAAATACAAAACTGAATTCAGAACAATTTTTTATTCGATTTTTGTGTAATGTAAATTGCAAAGAGTTACTGGCAGGGAGAAATTATTGTGATCGGCTGTAATTTTCTCGACGTCCTCTGATTCGTCTGTAGCTTTAAGGACACTTTGAGGTTATGTTTGTTTTTTCTACCTCAAGGGGCCTCAAGGGCAATGAACGAAGGAAAGGAGTAACGTGATATAAATGGCAGTGCGTAACAGTCCGTTTATTTTGCATTTTATATAGAATCAGTTTTGCAGAATTTTTTAAATATTTCAATCTTAAAGGCCGTACAAAAAGAGTTAACCAATACAACTGAACAAATAAATCTCCATTTCATTGCTTTCTTAGTTCTCAATCATCAGATAAGCAAGAGAAGCCTCGCAAACCAAAACGTGGATCATCAAATAGTCAACCTGCACTGCCACAAGTACAGCCACAGTCACAACATCAACAGCAACCTCAATCAATAGCATCATCCATAGTAACATCTGTATCTAGCAGCGCAGTGGTAACAACATCTAAGAGAGGAGGAAGAAGTAATCATCAAACTCCTCCACCTGCCATAACTGTGGCACCTGTACCATCCATTATTCAAGGGCCAACTTTGAGTGGTGGTCATTTTAGCAACGTTAATTCTGGTTCTGTGAACACTATGGGTCCTACTGTCAAAGAATCTCCTCCAAGCAGTCCTGGTTCTGAAAGTATGAGTAGTAGTGGACCAGGAAGAAGGAAAAGGAAAAGTGCGAGTGCAGCTTCTACAACGCCAACACCTTCTGCCTCGAGTACTCCAACCCTTACAAACCCAAAAGAAGAAAAAGATGTTAAATTGTAAGAAATAAAAATGATTGTTGTATTGATACAGTTTATTATATATATTATAATTTGACATATGAATTAGGTTCCAGAATGGAGTTAGTGCACCACATATGTTAGGAAATCAGTTAAACCCAACTTCCACAATGGCACAAAAAATGTCTGATACTCTGTCTCAAGAGCTGGAAGCACATTCTATTTTTACAGAAGCTAGTAATTCTACAACGAATTTAGTTGGTCCACAACTACATAGTCGAGTAATTGCATCTGTAGGTATTTTAATCTACATTTATTATTTTAAATAACTGGAAAAGGAGATCTAATCTGGAATCTTAATATTGACATATTATTTTACGAATAGATACGATCCAATCAAACCGGTGCACCACCGACATCGTTTTCCTCGGTTTTTAATACCACCAGCAATACGAATACCAACACTAGCGCTAGTACAACCAACACTGGTTCTTTAGGCGGTGGTGCAATACCCCAAACATTAGATCAGCTTTTAGAGAGACAATGGGAGCAAGGAAGTCAGTTTCTGATGGAGCAAGCCCAGCACTTTGACAGTGAGTGTACGGCAAGGAAAAACATGCTTTCAGTCGCATGGGTTTGGTGAAAAGGGGTCTTTCTTTTTTAATTGAAAATTTAATGCATGAACCATTTCCTCTTTTTTCTTTTTTCTTTCCTGATTTTTATATTTTTCTTACAATGATTCATTTATACATAAAGTTATGTAAAATGTAAAGTATATTGCTTTCTGGGTCGTTTGAACCATTAATCTTGACATAAATTAAAGAAAGTTTCATAAAATACGGAATTATTTTTACAGTTGCTTCCCTACTTTCTTGTCTTCACCAATTAAGAGCAGAAAACCTTAGGTTAGAGGAGCATGTAAATAGTCTTCTGCAAAGGAGAGATCATCTGTTGGCTGTGAATGCTAGACTTGCAATTCCTTTAACGACTCAGCCTAGTGCTCACCCAGGTAATGTATTTGACTTTTATGATGAACATTTTCACTATTTATCATCTTATATACCATCTCAATATTTATTTCGTTCGTAAATTATAGTGAACAACATACATCCAACAGTCAATCCATCTCATCCTAATGTTCCACACCCTGAAGTCCCACCAGGAGCAGCGGCCGCCGTTCCACGAGTGAGTAGGGAACCACGAGTGAACAACACATATATGGCCCATTCAAGTTCTAGTAACCATTCTACGACCTTGGAAAATGGCTTGCCTCCTGATCCGTCTCCTCCAGCTGCAGCTTCACTTTCGCAGTACCAACATCGAACATCATTGGTTGCACCGCAACCAAGTCCAACGATTAGGTAACGTATTTGTCCTTTATTTGATATGACGAGTTCTGGTACTGCAAAATTTAGTTCTTTCTGCGATCATTGTGAATAGACACAGCCCAGCTGGAAGCGGGTACCACCAAGGACAACCTAGTAATATTGTATCTCCGGCACCGACTAATAATTCTGGCGTAGTGAGAAACTCGTCCGTTACACCAGATCCTCTGCGTGGGGTACCAAGGTAAGAAGTTTATCTCATTTTATAAGATCTTACTTTTTGTATAGATTTATATCTTGGATAGTTAAAATTTGAGATTTGGAACTGTGATGTTAACTTGTTCTTTCGTTAACAGTAGCATTAGATATCATTATATTACTTTTATAATAGAATATGAGCCATGAATATATTTAGGTCGTGCGTGCATGTATAACGAATAGAAATAATTTACATATATGAAGTAAAGAATTATAGTCTAATGCATTTTTACAGAAAGTGATTTGAATAGAAAAAGTTGGAAATAATTTTAAGTAGAAGTTTCGTGTGTTTCAGGTCAGTGCCACAGTCGTCGAGCAATTACATGCCTTCGATGTACCAACCTACAATGTCCAGTCTGACAAGTAATCAAGTAGGTAATGTTCATAATCTTCATTCACATGGACCTTCTCCACCCAGCCATGGACCACCTGGAAAACCTAGCTGAAGATAGGTGGAAACCAAGGAAGAGTATACTGCGCCTGACAACAGCAGACGTGGTGAGGTGTTATCGCCGACCGAGACGTGTTACCACCCTTAAAAATGAGCACAAGGAAGTCGTTTATCCTTTGTGTTTCTTTGCTGATTGGCTCGATCTCTGACTGCGATCTCTGCTCGATAAAGTGTGATCAATTCGGTAATTCAATACTTATAGACTGGGAAACGTTATATATATTAAACGAAAGGAAAATATTTGCATTTATCGATATATGTAATTCACGATTTTATTCCGTTACGAATAGAGCTGGTGAATAGACGTGTGTTTATACATTTCTATTGTTTCTTGGCGAATTTCCAAGAGCAGTTTTACTGGCTCAAAGTTAGGTTAGATTCACAATAAGCATGATAACAAAGGCCTTGCAAATTCGAACGAAGAAGCAATTTAGAAGTAGAATCATTTTTTCTTTTCTTTTTCTGTCCTTCCTTTGGTTGCACGTCATCGAGCACGTCTGAGACAATCTTTAGATCATTTTACATCATTGTCATTAACATCATTTGATAAAACAGCAAATCCGCAGATGTACAAATTTTAGATTGTAAGTTAATCTATCGCGACGAATAGCAATAAAATTATGCAGTAAGTGTACATTTTACATAAAAGGAAGGAAATTGCGTGTGGATTTGGTGGTACGACAAGGTCACCCATCTTTTCTCTATCAAGGCATCTCTTTTGTAGATGTTTCGCCGCTATCTTAATAAATTCGTTTCTCGGGTTCTCTTTAGCGCACCACTTTTGACACATTGCAAAAAATGCCTACACCTTTCAAGTTAAACTTGTAAATGTCTCGTAATTGATCCATTTCACGGTCGAACCGATATATATATGTATATGTATATTCGAATCTTATACATGTAAAGCGTACTACATACTTAGTCGTGTAACTTGAGCACTGCCTTCCACCAATAAAGTGACCGTGAAACGGATCGAACAGTTATTTTTCTTTATAGTATGATGGTTTTTATGGTTTCTTTGGAACAGTTAATTAAACTGTCATCGTTAGACGGGATTTAAGGAAATGGTCGAGGTTGTATCTAAACAGAATGTTTCACACGCGCTTCGTTTTCGCATAAGGGATTTATTTACGATTATTCTTGGTTGTACCTTGCCTTCCTCAATGGCAGCACACATGTTATTTGTCTTAAAGTATCAAGAATATCGAATTTCGACCTTTGTCGATGCGAGACGCATAATCAAAAAACAAAAAAAAATCCATCGTTAAAGGATTAAAGTATAAAAAAATTAACGAGAGGACTTTCGCTGAAAGTTAGAGCTGCATTTGAATGAACAAAATTCAACTTGTTGAAGATAAGAAATTATAATGGGGGGACTAGTTTCCTGTCTCTCGGTTCCCTAAAGTAAAAACAAAAGCATTAATAACAATGGAATAATCTGTCTTTCCGTATCAAATGAATCTATACTTTACTGTTATAGATATGAATTTCTTGTCTTCTTTTTTGTAATTTTATTTTAATTGTTATTATTAATATTATTATTAATAAATAAATGTAACTAGGTGTTCATAACTAATCCCTTCGGTTTTATTGTTAGAAAATGAAATTTTCTAAGAGATGAGTTGATATTACCGTTTTGTGTTCTCAATTGAAAAGTATTATTTTTACGGGAAGACGATTTTCGCTAATAGGAAATTGCGAAAGTTTTTAAAGGAACCGAGAGGAATCTTTAGATTTACTTTGTACGATAAATGCGATGATAAACGACTCAGTGATAGATCACGAGGACACCAAGCGTTCAAGATTGCACGCCACCACTCAGGGAAAATCGATTTATTAAAATTCTATCGAATTTTCTTCGTGTACGTCGATTGTACTGAGCACGAAACACTATTTCAGTTATTATACATCTTGGGATCCAAAGGAATGGCTGTATGTTTCATTATTTCATAGTACAGTTCTTCATATAACACGGATTCGTATAACACGTAAAAATTATAGCAATCTCTAAATAATACAATGAGGCGGACTTATATGACGTGCTATATATATTTAAATTTTCACACTCTAGTTATACATTACATCTATAAAACATAATTGACGAAAGCGATGTAGCGAAACTATGAATTAAGACATTAAATAACGATACTAAGTGATGTAGTTATACTGAGAACCGTACTTTTTTAAAAATTTTCATACTAAAATTTTTTTTGTATATAAAAATTATTTGAATTTCAAAGATGTACGATATCGGTGTGGTATTCGGTGCTATAATTGGAAAATGAAGTATTCATAATTGACGACTTTGTCGAAAATTCGAAAGGGTTTCTAAAAAGTCAAGTGATCGTCGAAGACAACAGTGCGTTTATACCGATGAGGAGTATTTTATGCGTTTATTATCTCAGTGTAGTATCGCTGTACGTTTTAAGATAATATACGGTACAATAGGAGGACGAGAGGAATAGAGTGAGAGTGAGAGTGAGAGTGAGAGAGAAAGAGAAGCGAGATAAGAAAAAATCGTGTATAGGTGAAGTGTTAAAACAGAGAGCAGTTAACAATAATATTTTTACACACAGCAGACCGTGCCAAATTTTTGCAATCGAATCATTGAACTCTCTTAAAACTCTTGAACAACTTATGTTTATGAAATGGTTGCTCAAGATTTTGAGACTGTTATCGCCTCGGTGTAACCTTCTTTCTTTTTCTTCTTTTTTTTCTTTTTTTTTTCTAAATTGAAAATGAAAAAAGGAAATTTAACTTAACATTGCTTCCTAATTTCGACATTTCCATGCTCTCGTTTATTTTGTGTTCACTTTCAGTTATTCGTGTACAAATAAATTATTGTGTTCCTAATCCACTATGGATTGACTATCGGAGATTTTGTCGCTTGAATATTTGACCTTAATTTGACCAAAGTCTTCTCTATTCTGGACTACATTGGATTTATACAGAATGGATAAGAGGATAAAAGCAGAAATGTTTTCATGCTCAAAACTACAAAAATAAGTGTTCGAATAAAATTGTACCAACTTTTAAGATGCAGAATCTTTTCTTTGATAAATTTTGTATAAACCCAATGTGACTCCGTCCATTAGGATTTTCTATTCGCTTGTAGTTTAATTGTAACTTAAATGTTTGGTACAAACTTACATACTTATGTACACAATGATCATGCGTGTAGAATAGATGTATCATTAGGTTCGTTTATATTAAGAACTTAGTACACCCATGATAACTATCGAACAAGCTAATTGTTCCAAACACAGCGAAACAATGGGCAAAATTTATTTATTCAAATGATAAATTGCAGACTGCTCGAGTGCACTAAGAAGGAGACCATGTACTTCCACGAATAAGATGGAAATATTTTAATTTTCGAAACCTTTCTGGGTTTTGTTATTCAGGCAATTGTAAATTATAAAACCTCAACGTCCAGGCGGCAACAATGCTTTGATTGGTCGAAATATTGGCACAAATCGTACCGTAGCATTTTGATACTCAAGATCTCTTCGCTAAGAGTCACTGTTGGACAGTTAAAAGGAAAAAATAAAAAAAGAAAAAAAATACAAGTGTGTAAGTGAATCAAACTTGGCGCCGTTTGTGAAGCGTGTTTTCATTTTTCTACGAGAGTTAGCTGGTATCCCTCACGCGTCTCTGGACAAACGAACAGAAACAAGCAACTCACTGTAAAATAATTCTACTTCAAGTGAAAGAGAGAAGAAACTGTAGCTGGAAAATGTCAGAGAAGCAAACACGTACTTGTCTCGATGCACTTGTTGGTTTTCTCAAGAAACGTGTCATTTAAATAAGAAACGTATTACGCTAGATATTGTAAACGAAAAAAAAAAGGTTAAAGGTCAAACATGGCCGTTCTTGGGACAGCCTACAATTTGTAGAAAGTGCTATCTATACATGTAAAATAATTGGAAGGATGGTATCACGGGGGCACTTCAAAGGTTGCCGCGACCTCTCCGGTGGTATTTTGTATATTTTCAAGTGAGAAACGAGTAGCTAAAAAATCCGGAGCTGCCTCGTGACGATTTACCTTTAAATTGTCCTCCATTATGTACGTCTATATTGTACTCCGTGTAAGGAAGCAAGGGAAAGGATTAAAAGCATACCGAGCGAAATGCCATATGTGTTTTCACACAAAGAGAAAAATGAATTTTCTAACGTGAGAAAAGGCTGATTGTTTTTTAACGTGTTTAACATAACGATTCACCAGCGGCCTCGTCCATCTCTCGAAGACATCCTGAATTTAATCTAGTCGGTGATATGGCTGTTTTAATTTACACGTACCGAGTTCTGGAATTTTATTTTTAATTTTCACCTTATTTAAATTTCATCCGCTAACTTTTTTCTGATTCCAGATCTAGGAGCTATGTTCTAAGCACATTCTCATATCGTTATGGAAATTCTTGCTCAAGATTATAGGTAACCACAGGTGCTCATAGGTACCTTGAAAGCAACATGTAGGTAGAAATGTTCCAATCTATCAATTTTATTTAATAAATTTTTAATACACCTACAAAGAATGTAAGAATGACTTGTGTGTTGGAGCTTATGAGTAACATTGTAGAATTATCGATATCATCAAGAATACCTAGAAACTGCTGATTTAAATTCAGGAGGAGCAGCGTCCACTAGATTAGGATCTTTACCCCGAATTGGATGCCTAGAAGGTTTCACTTTTATATTTACATCAACTAAGATTTACACTATCGAATTGAAAGAAACGAAGATCTTCTTCAGGCGCGAGGGATGGACGAGAACTCACAGAAAAGGTTACCCTGAATAAAGACGACGCTTTTGGCATCATTGCTGAGTAATCGTGCACTTGAATCTCTTCTCTATTCTTCGTTGACTGATCAAGAAACCCAAACCGAAAGTTCATTGAAGTGTATTTATTATTCGTGCATGATGCCCACAGAAACGTCGTCCCGGAGTCGCGTGGATCGGTTCCGAATCCAGGGATGTAAATCACTGTGCGATACGATTTTGTAATGTAACTGTGCATACGGAATCATGTAATAAAAGAAGAGTAAACGATGACAGCATCGTTTGTTTCGAGCAGCACATTTCCTGTTCCCGGATCCTTCTGTTCCTCTGTTTAAGTGAGATGTTTTTCTTTCTTTATTTGTAAAATGTACACATATTATTATATTTTAACTAATAAAAGTTATATTTTATTTGTTTGATAATTCGAAAATTTGTTTGTAGATCTACCTGTTATAACTTTGAGTATTAAGTTGATTTGGAGTGATTTTGATAACTTCGTTACTGTTATTGTCCACCAAAATTTGCATGTGTGTTAGAGGATTTATTATATTCTTTGGAAACGAAGAAGAATAGCACATTTCCTGACTTATGGAAACATAACTGTCTTTAGACAAATCCCTGACGTTTGCCTCAGTGCTGGCCGTGGGAAGTCTCACCTGCGACCTCGTCTCCGGCGAATCAATATTACACGAGAATGTGCGAATACACTATGTTCCATGGATAAAAGCTGAAAGACTCTCTTATCAGGAAGATCCAATTGTTCCTTTTAATACAATTTTTAATGAACATCTTTTTTAACATTTAATACTCGGGCTTTTCTATAAATTGTCAATCAATTAAAGATACGATAAAAAGAAAATATTAGGATACGTTATGGTATAGTGAAGGTTAACACGTGTTTCTCTTATTATTATTTTTAGATCATCTTCAGGGGAGAGAAAGATTCGATCTCGCATCATGGCTGGATAATGCTCGATATAAAGTAATAGGATTTTATAGAGCTCAAATTCTCACGCTGGATTTCACCTTGGATTTTAGATCGTTATCTATATGTACGCTTCTAAGGGTGCTACTTGCTAACCCCCTGTTATTTATTTATTTACCGTTATAAACGTAAATTTCTCTTCTACTAAACTCGATTCAGACTCAGTCGAAATAATCTAATTTTCGCAATTTTTCAAAATTTAATTGAACAACTCGAAATAATTTCTTTACTCGTGATCACCATTGTTGATCATATAACGAAGAATATAAAGCGTGGAGTTCAAGAAATTCGTAGAAACCTGGCCAGAGTATTATTCTCGATATTTCTAATCGTCCAGTAACGATATTCACAATCGAATCAAGTGTTACATTGTCTACCCCGACGATCGCATGGAACATATTATAAGGGGGAAGCTACAAGCATAAAAGTGATCCGTCGGGGTGTTCAGGGGACGATGATTTCGCTGGAACTTCAGAAAACACTCCAGTGCAGCTGCCCAGGTATTTGCGTGCCCCAATTTTCACCCTGTGGGGTTAGAGCTTATGGGGGGCGTCGAAGGGTGGATGGATGCTCTCTTTTGCCCAAAACACCCCTCGATGTATGTAATGGAACCCCAGACTCCTGTCTGTGCACGTAACATTGTTAATTCTGTTCTCAGGTTTCCACATTCAAACCACTATCCACGAATTTGATACATTTCTCCTCGGTTTATCCCTTATCAACGTGCAAGTGGATTTCTCTTGGATGAAACTTGGAGCTTAGTTAAAAGAGGAAGCGATAGATTCCTAAGGAATTTAATTTCTTCTAACAGGGAAGTAGGAATATTGTTACAAATTTTTGCATTCGAATACTTTCTGAGCAAGATGAATCGTACAGATAGTACATTGGCATGAATGCGATACTCAGAGTGATGCGACGATGTTACAACATGAATTCTGAATTAATACTTTATTTGTGTGTCACTCCAGCTGCGAGGATAAACACAAGTGCAACCCTTGTGACAAGAGGGTGCTCTTAATGCGTCTGTGATTCGCGGAAGGGGCTGCAGCCGCCATTCTATGGTTTGCTAATTTTCACGGGATCACGGTACCGTGGCGTTCGAGCCGATTAGGTTCAACCCGAGGTATTGAACTTTCACGCCTCCCCTTAACCACTGGATCTCTCTATGAAGAACTGAAAAGTGATTGAAGCCTCGTACAATATCTATGAACAATGAACATGAATTTTTGATGAACCGTATAGTTATTTAGGTATTGGTGCTTTTTTCCTTTTAATTGTATCGAGAAGCTTAATTTTAACGTGATATTGTTGAAATCAAATATTAGAAAAGATTAGAAAGCAAGTGTTAAATATTGATAGAAATATCACTGTGACACTCGATATTCTAAGATATGAATGCTAAAAAATTGATGCACCATAAAGTGGTGCGTGATAACGGCAGGTGTATGGACACACCTGCGTCAACTGCAGATAAGTCTGAACCAGTTTTGATCACCTGGTGAATAGTAGACCTTTATTATGAACTGCTAATCTTATTTACTCTTCAATTCTTTTTCGTCATATCTAGAAATTCGTTAGTATCTACTAATTAGTATAAGGTATTAATAAATTATTTCAATGTACATTAAGATACTTACTATGTATCTTCAGCTGTTAATATTATTCAACTATTTTAAATAATTTAAATACATTAATCTAATTATACTATTAAAATATCTCAATATATCCGAGCATACCTTATTAAACATTATGAACTATATTAACTATATTTTTTGATTAGTTATGCTAGGATACTTGATATATATTTTTTTATAGTTATATATATAGCAAACTATTTTTATAATTATCCTCGAATCAGATATTCTAAGATATGTCAAATCTGTTTAAATTGTCAGCAATGAAGAAAAGAAGAAGAAACACTTTTAGAAAAGATGGAAACCGTTTCGATCCGTCCCAGTGGACACTTATATCGTCCCTAATTGTCCACAAATCGACGACTACCCTCGATTTCCGAACCGTTAAGTACAACCACCCCCGGGGCACCAGGGGCGTTCCGCTAGCTCTCTATTGAGGGGCGCCTGATACAACGGGGTAGAATATGGATTCAATTACACCTCATTGTGCCACGGTGTCTATAAACAATGCTGTTTTCACAGCTGATAGTAGTCCACGTTGTGCTGCGGGTCCACGAACCTAGAAGTTCACCGAGTAGACTAGTCTTTCTTCTGGATAGAACAGTTTGTTTCTTTTCTTTTTTAAATATTTATTTTAGTTACGTTTATCACTTTCATATATTCAACTTTGTAATAAAAAGTCTTTCTCATTTAATATTGACCAATGAAAGTTAGATTAAAAATAATTATTTCTTCCAGTTTCAAAAAAATGAGAAATATACTTCAGCATAAAGAAGACAGAAGGAATAACTGAAACAAGAGAAAAGATAATAAAGATAGAAAAGGAAAGTCAGTAAATAATGAATAACAAATTTTGTGAAGGGCAGTTTCATCGTGGAATATTTTTCTCTTGCTTTTAAAATAAGATATCAAACGTTATTTTGTGACGTATACGGTATACTTAGTTACACTTTTAGCTATACAAACAGAATGAAACCAATCAAGAACTTCTCAAGATGATTAAACTTATATTAGCTTAACTGTACTATAGTTATGCTAATTATATTGTAATCAAGTACCAGATAAAAGCTTTGTTCATTAACGTAACGGCGTGACCAATGGATCTTCGAGCTATAAGGCAGAAAACTGTAAGGTTGCAAAATAACGAAGAAGGAAAGGAGGATTCGTGGGAAGATCCGCAGCCGTCGACGCCATTATTCCCGAGTCGCAGGACGTCGCGACATCGCAATATCGACGTACCGCCCACGATTCTCCTTCTCTGTCTCATCCATGTCTAGTTTGCTCCCCTTTCTAACAAACTATACACCAGAATTTGGCGCAGTTCCTACCCTCTCCTTTTTTGGAGCCCTCCGCCATTTCGTTATGAAGTACATTGAATTTGCAGTTTCGTCTGAACTCTTAGAAGCTCAAGAAGTATTCATTTTCTATAGCTGTACTCGATATTGAAACTTAAAAAAGTTTTATTAAAATAAATTCTCAAAATTGATCAGCATAGAGAAGAGAAAGTAAAAGGGCACGAGAGACATGGAAAATCAATTTGCAAATTTAAAATATAAGAAGATATGAATTGAAAATAAATATCAGAAATTTTCCAATTTTAATTCAAAGAATATAGAAAGTTGGAGGATAATTGGTCTAAACTTAGCTTTTCATGAAACAAATAATGGAAGTTTCGAATTAGACTTTAATTAGCCAGTATAGAAGAACATTGATTTTTAGAAGAGCAACAGCTATTAGGAAGTACACAAACCATTAAACTTACGTATTACTTAAAGTATTCCATTTAAAAGTACTACTGTTACGATAATAAGAAATGATAAAAAGATGGAATAGAAAAATGGAAAAATAAAAATTAAAGTTATCAGGGTGATGATTGAAGAACCAATTTGAAACTTCAAGAACCTACTTTATTTGGCTTGAATGGCAACCACGTCGACAGTCGTTCTTTTTCATGTTCATATTTCACGTACAAACGATATCTACTTACATTCTTTTACGCATTCTATGTATATATACAATTGTAACATGAATTCTGCCAGAAAAATTAAAAATCAGTTTATTGCTTAGGGAAAAGAAAAATTCTCGACAGAATCTTAGAATTTCGTCCATTTTCCATTTGTAAGCGTAAAATCACTGCTTTCTTAGCATTTTTAAAACGAAATTAAAAGTATAAATACATGTTCTTCATATTATAACTTCACTTTGTTATTTTATAGAAATTACTCATTTCGTTCTAACTCGGCATTTATTTGACGTTAATTTAGAGAATAATACTGTCTGTTAATAGGGCAATTAAACATCAATAACGATAATAATTTAATAATACTGTTCACCACATTAATATTGACTAGAGACATAAACTTATTATTTAGTTTAATTTTTCTGGTTAATAAATTTTGTTCTCCTGGTAACATTTACAATTAGGAAAAGTAAACGAATGACTAGAAAGATTTGTCCTTAAATACTAAATAACATGAGGCTCGATGCGACTTAATAATTAAAACCTGAGCACTTTATTCGAATGTCGAGCAGTTTTTTGATGTTCTTGGATCCTCCGGGGTCCATACTTTCGCGTACATCGTCCCATTCGGGGAGATGTCCGATTTCCTGGACCAGGAGAGGGAATGAAAAATGAAGGGATTCCCCTCGCTACCTGAAATTTTATCGTTGAGGACAATTAGTATAAAAAGCAAATTAAATTCGTTTAAATGATTATTCCTATTGTCTCTAATAATCTAAAGCTCTAAAATACACTTTCTAAATAATTAATCAATAGAAATCTTATCAAGTAATTGTGAAACAAATTTTTTAACTGACAAATTTGTTACTTTACATGTCAGTGAGTACTGTGAGTACATTTTTAGAAAAGAAAAAAGAATATTATGTAATGCGGAAAAGATATGTGAGTGCGATCGGTATTGGCCTCACCACGAACTATGACCTTCTTAGAGTCGTCTCGACCGGAACATCTTGAGAGACCGCCATTTCCCGTTAAAGGATCGTTACCCTTATCAGCTCTGACTAGTTCATTTAGGAACTTTATATAACCAATTGCCAATTTTAGCGTATCTACTTTAGAGAGTCTCTTTTCGTAAGGGAGAGTAGGTATGTGAGCCCTGAGGCCCTCAAAGGCGTCATTTATGTTTTGCATACGCCTCCTCTCCCTCATATTGGCGGCTTGTCTTTGTTGCACCGCTTGCCTTGGACTTTTTCCTGATGTCCCGTTTCTTCTGTTGCTTTGACTTCGTCTAGAAATCATTATTGTACTCTTTTTAATAGAATAATGACCTCTAGATGTTTATTTCTTAAATATTCTTAATATTTTTGAAAAATTAAATCGAAACAATGGATAGACGATAGCAAGGGATAATATATGGAATATTTTTTATTAAATGTATATCTAATCTTATTTTACTTCTTTATAACGAAGCTTTGACATTGCAGATCTCGAGTACCTGCTGGTGAACAACCCATCAAGATTGGCTATATCGGACATTCAGATGTTGCATCTTCAGAAATTCGTTAATAAAGTATAAAGCAATATCAGTCACCTATTTATTGGACAAAAATATTCCTCCCATTATCTCCTGCCATCCTCTGTCTGATAAAACTAGTTTCGGAATATCCCAATGTACAAATAAAAATTTAGTAGGTAAGAGTTCTATTTAGTTTAAATTGTTAAGAATTCACACTATCCTTTCATCAAGTTATCTTTTATTACTACCGAATACTTTGAAACCCAAGAAAATACATAATTTCTATTTCCAGATGTCTAATTGGATAATACCCAACGAACAAGAAAATTCTGAAGGGAATACTGACTCTCTGGTGTGATTTTCCTGATCACTGCTGTATGCACTCTCATTATCGCTGCTGTTTTCATCGTACAAATAAATTTCACTACCGCTGGTACTTCCGGTACTTCCAGCAGGATGTGCAGCTAACTGCGATGGGATTGAAGGTAGCGTAGCTGTGGTAGGTGCTCCACAATGCGGCGGTAAAGCTGGGATCGCCGGATTCCCAAGAAAACTGTGTGCCTCATACATGTACTGACGGTTCATCATGTCTAATTCAAGATTGTCCATGGAATACATCTTGAAGAAATTCTTTAACTTTCTGTGTTACTTAAACCTCCTCGTTTCACGTATCTTATAAATAAATTCTTTGGTATAGTGACTAGTATCGTTGGCTAATTGAAGTATACTAATTAAGATATTTTCTCACATTCTCTCTATATATGAGTTATTAATTGAATTTCTGTTTCAGCTGCAGAAGATGAACAGTTTAAAAAACTTCAGTTTCCAATACTCTTTAAGAAGAGGAACTTAGAAGAATTCTCCAGTGATTTCTACTAAACAAACATCCAATTCGAATATTTATATCGTGAATGGAGAAATGTGACATTTTCTTTTTTGAAGTCATTGGAAATATATTTATATAATTTCCAAGCCTTCTCTAAAAAAAAGTTTTATGTCTTCCTTGAACACCAAGGGATCAATTTATTTAAATTCAACACGGAATATTAAATCTATCCTATTATGCTAGGATCAGCAGGTAGATTTTGTTGGAATTTCCTGGAAATTCCTGTTCAAACACCCTCGATCACGTCCCTAAGATTCACTGATACAATCGACACGACACGTGGCCCTACCGCGTGCTAGAAAATACTTCTAAACAGCGACACGTGCCAACAGAAGACCAGGACACGTGTCCAAGTTTGTCTAGACACTTATCAGAGTGTACTTAATCTTCCCCTGCTAGTCATACTGCAATCTAAGCCAAAATTTCTTCACTGGACACTCGTAGAATCACATTAAATCTAGGGAAACGAACAATTGTCTTCTTCATCCTCAACTTTCTTCCTGGATAATGCTTCCTTTACTTCAATTTATGATTAACGTTCTTCTGGCATCTGCTTAAACGTTTGACACTCATCATTCACACTGAACCAATTTTACAATAAGTACTTAAAATTTTATGGTTGATTTTTGTGAGGAAAACAATCACGAACATGGTATTATCAGTACGAGTCTTTGAGTATTAAGCGAAAGAAGAGGTACCGAGGAAATGTTAAACTATTAGGAAGTAACACTCTGGATCACTGATGAGTACTGGTTCAAGTGATCTGGCAAAACTGAAAAGGAAAATCGGGTGGAAGGTAGGAACCATTCCTGGAGTTGAAGGTTCAACTGCATTCCCATTCGTCGAACCAGTTGGTGGTGGAGCCTGCCTACTCCTGGTTGCCTAGCTGCTGGTTCCGCCTCTTCATCGATCTGATAAGGAACAGGGAGGTTCTCGGTGGAGGATAACTTGGCGGAAAAGTCGTCGGGCGATAATGTGAATTGAATGGATTTGCGAATCGAATTTGTACCCCAATATAGATGTTTTGGATATACGTTACTTAAATAGGGAAGGTTTGAGAGGGATTCGCTGAAGCAGAAGAGGGAGAAGACCAATACAAAGATTAAAAAAAATTTCCCGAGAAAGAAGAGGAACTTCTCATTCAGAAAAATAGTTAAAGGGAAAGATTGTTGGGAAAAGCTACACAAATATAAATTAGAAAAAGGAATACAATGAAAATTGGAAAATTGAGGAGGAAAGATAGTTTTGAAAAGTGGACAAACTTCTAGATCGTTAGGGAAAATTGCTTAATTCAAAGAAAATTTAGAGAAAATAAAATTCAACAAAAATTTGATAAATAACTGTTAAGAATAAGAGAATTGCAGAAAAGATTTTTAGGAAGAAGATATACGAAAGAAAATTGTGTAAAGAATTATTAGTGCAGTGAAAAGCAAAGGGAGAGATTCTTAAAAAATAGAATAAATTAGATCTTATTGATCTGATCTAAATTAGATCAATGCCAAGTATTAAACTTAAGACAACTTTAAAGACATGGCTTACAGAAAATTAAAAAGTACATTCTTCCGTTGAAGAATATCGAGCTTGAAAAATTTATTTTTACGTGACACGAAATTTCAAAGGAACATATTGCTATCAAATAATGTTGTTTTGCGGTACGGTAATAATACAGCAAAAATCATATCGGACCTGTTACGGAGCGCATAATTACACGTTACCACGGTTAGGCCAAATGTCGCAGAAGTGGTTAACCCTCAAATAAATTCATGCACGGTGTTTCTGGTACACGTGCACAACACGTGCCCTTAATTTCTCTCTTTGTTACACCATTGATTCTCTTGAATGCTCTTTTCATGCACAGGCGTAAAACTTATCGACCTTAAACACTGTTTCCCTTTCAATGCAGCATTGTCGAAGAAAATGGAACTGCAAAAAAATATTTTGCGAAATTGTGCAATATTTATTATAATATTCCAGACAACTTTACAATCGTTCTTAAACAAAAAAGAAATTTGTAAAGACTGGATGTAGGAAAATGGAGAAAAATATTGTTAATTTTAGCAGAGATAAAGATGCCAGGGGATCCTTTTGAAACGCCGACCAAACATAAAATATCAATCACTATCAAGTTCCCAAAAAATTTCTACTAAAAACGTCCGCCGAGTTTCAACAATTAACACGGTACGAATTAAGAGGGTTCGTTGTATCAGGATGAATTATTCGCTCCATCTGTTGTTTCAAAGAAAATCAAGGAAACAGAGGTTCCCTTTCCCACGAATACAATTTTCTGGTCTAATTTGGGGAACAGATAAAAAAAGACATGTATATGAATTTATAATAATGAATTCAACAAATAGTAAAATAGATCTGCATTAAATATGCCATGATGCAAAACGCAGGTTTAGAGAATTATCTTCATCAAAAATCGAATCTACAAATTGCAAACCGCAGACTCTCTAAATCTAATCTGAAAGAAAAATACGGAATCGAGGCAGGTCTATTGTATGACGATTTTGATACTGGAGATCAAAAGACACAACCGAAGGGGATCAGATTTAAATAACAAATCCCCTAGGCACGTGTGCACTCGATTCAAATGTAATATTAAATATTACAAAAAAAAAAACTTTTATGCTGACGAGTATTTATCTTTTAAACTATTAGAAAGAATATTATATTTAATATTATTATAATTAATTAGTAAGTTTCCCTATAATTTTGTTCTATTGTTACATATTGTTTATATTTCCATAACATGCTTTATTCTAATTTGTAATGCATTCTTACCTCTTCTAAAATTATAGAAAAATTTCCTATTAAAAAGAAAAGAGAAGATTGGATTTTATAAAAGCGCATCATATCTCGAAAAGATCCACGGTCCATGCCTAACCAATTTTCTATGGTACATCCTTGCACCCAGGAACTTATATCCAACACCTGGTTGTCGATACGCCCCTAGGGAACATCCTGGTACCCACTTGAAATACAGCCAACCCCTGTAAGTGTCTATTAATTTATACTCAGCAGGAGTGTGAAATCGATTTATTTCCGCATTCGATTCATCTTCTGGTTTTAATCGATTTGCAGCTCTGCAGGAGACTGTTGTACTATCTAATAGAATCACTGTTTAAAAAATTTCATACTATAATCGATTTTACAAAACATATATTCGCTGTCATTCTTAAATTTTATACGATGATACTTATTATAAATTCAATTGCAATAAAAAAATATATATATGTTTACCTGTATACGTTCACTTATAATATTTTTCTGACATTTTTATTATTTTTCCAGATTCTGTTTATTGGAGTACAAAATTTTGTAAACTACACATGGCTTTATTACGTACTAAAAAATGATGTTACACAATACTGTAGGCATACCTTGTGCAATGTTTATCTTGAAACATCCGGTTGTGAGCGAGCCGTCGAAATCATGCGCTAATTTAACCATCAGTCCTGTCCAATGCAAAATTATGAGCCACCTGTCTAATATCCACCTCTGCATCCGTTTCCGGTTCATAGGGGATGGCATCCCCTGCGGTGTCCTCGTGGCCGTGCCCTCCTGGAGGGCACGACCCCCTGAACGATCCATGCTTGAGTGCACCACCTTTACCCCAAGCTTTTTTCCATTCACAAAATCGATCCGTTATTGCAAAATGTTACAAAATACGATGTACTTGGAAAATTAAGAAATATCTCTCACTTAGGATAAAAATAAATCTGGGTAATTTTTACTGCAAAAAAATGTAATATTACTTAAATTAAATAAAAGAAAAAAGGCCTGAAGTAATTTAATACATATGTGTATGTGTACTTAATGTTATGCAAGTTTCAGTTGAAAATTGATATAATCAATATGAAGGAAAAGTTATCGATGTTGCAAGTTAATAGACCTCATTAACTGAAAGAAGTAGTTACCTTTCTGACGATCTAAGTATTTTTAATAGTGTATGTGCACGATTTTAATGGTTACCGATTACAGATACATATTAAAATCAATGGTTACAGTTGTTATTATAAATTAAATAATTTAACATTTACTCTATCATGAATTTGTAGTTTGTATTATAGAACCATTTTTATCAATGTAAATTTATTTGAAATTTATTCGATTTGAGATAAAATAGAGGTTAACGTATTTAAATTAAAGACATGCATATTTATTATTTGATTATTTGGCGTTCAAAAAGTTGAAATATTTCATTATTCTGCCCTCTATTGGTGATAACGTATAGTAGAATTCTAAATTATCCTCTAAGGTTAAAACAGGAAAATCATGATTTCTCACATTTTCATTTTGGTCGAATCATTGTTATTAAAAAATTTAATTTCAGCTTTCCTCTTATTAATTATTAATTATATTAATAAAACAAACCATTTTTAAAAATATCATATAAAAAATTGTAATAATTTATTGTAATTTAGTGTAATTTAAATACAGTTAATAGTTCAATCTGTTACCAAAAAAATCTCAAAATGATATAGTAAATAATATATTAATATTCTAACAATATAGCAAAAAAACAGAATGATTCAGTTAAATAAAAATTTAAATATCCCGCGTTAAATGAATCGAATATTGACAATTTCATGATCACGGTTCTCTTCGATATCTCGAGATAATTTAAGTGGCCTTCAGGTGAAGCATCGAGGCCAGTCTGTATTTTCGCTGAGCTGGGTTGTTGTTTACATCCCGTAGCCGCTCTTCGTACGGACATCCCGTGCGCGAGGGGAGCGGCAAAAATTCTCGCTTGAAATTCTTCGTTACCCAGTGACCGTCGTTGCTGCCTATCGTATTTTCCCTAGTATCATCTGATCATTGAATCTGCTCGGAACGACTAGTATAAGATAAATAGGATGAAGGTAACGGTAACCACGCTCAGCGACGACATCTTCGTCCTGGATGTCACGGAAGATATGGAGTTGGAAAGTTTTAAGGCTCTTTGTGAGATCGAGAGCAACGTTCCAGTCCACGAGATGGTGATTGCTTTCAATGGTCTACCATTAATGAACGACAAGGAATCGCTGAAGGATCACGGGATCCAAGACGGTGACGTGGTGATTTTGCAACACATGCATCAGAGCGGGGCTGAGTTGAACCTTCACCCCTTTAACGGAGGTCAGCTTCAATACAGCACCATTATTTAAAGTGGCAATCGAGGCGGGTCGTGAGGTTAGCTTTTCGGCTTCGATTTACGTTTTTTTTTCTGTATTGTCACGTCTCTCGATCAGATGTTACCAGATTTATAACGCACGATCCCAACGAACTGAGCTTAACAGACTCGATCGAGCATGTTTTCCTTGGTTTCACTATATTCATCCTTGAATTCGCTTTTGGATAGTGTCTATTATAATAGGTTTTGTCTTCATGTGAGAATTTCTCATTTCGTTCCTTTTTGTCGAACCGCACACCTGCCCGGCTCAGTTTAGCACAAGTTTTGTACTTCTGTTGAGTTTGATTTGAAAATAGCTTGTTGCTCTGCGCTTAGTCACATCAGTTATTTAAGAGCGCACTCTTGCATAATAAAAAAGAGAATGTACTAAATTCCAAGATACATTACTTTAGCTATTCCCATGTTGGACTTCAGTTCTATCAGAGTGCCAGGAGCATCCAACAGTCGACAGTCATCCGCTTCCAGTAGCAGTATAGCCAGAATACAAAATCCTAAAAATCCTAGAAAAGAAGATGACCCAGAGAAAATACGTGATATGTTCCTAGCAAATCCAGGTCAGCTAGCATTGCTTAGCCAGAATAATCCTAAACTGGCTAGCGCCTTACTTTCTGGAAGTCTTGGTAAGTTAAAAATACACATTGAAAATTTCAAAAATCAGAGAAATAATACTCAAAATTTATTATTTATAGAAAGATTTACCACTGTACTCAGAAAACAAATAAAATTGCGAGAAGAACATGAGGCACAGAGATTGAAAATGATGAATGCAGATCCATTTGATGCAGAAGCACAGTTGTTTATTGCTGAGGATATTAAACAGAAAAATATTGAAGCAAACATGAAAGCTGCAATGGAATATAATCCAGAAACATTTGGATCAGTTGTTATGTTATATATTAATTGTAAAGTCAATGGATTTCCAGTTAAAGCATTTATTGATACAGGTGGATATTCATTAATTTTATTTACTTTTATAATTAGTAAAACAAAAATGATCATGTGCATAAATATGCGCAATAAACTATTGAAATTGCTATTGGTCTGGAGACAAGATTATTTTTAAGTGTCTTTGTTTGGCTGCGTTTGGCCACTGGTGGTCTATTTTTAAATTCTTGCATTTTGAGTCATTCTTTGCAGTATGATTCTCCATGGTGGGAGTGGTTTAAATTTAGACATTGAAATCCATACTCTCACATAAGCTATATTTTTGTACTTTAAAATACCATGAATTCGTTATTTTTATTAGAAAAATATCGTCACAATATATAATAACATTATTTTATTAAAAATTAGGTGCACAATCAACTATAATGTCCGATGCATGTGCCGAGAGATGTCACATGATGCGATTAGTCGATACAAGGTGGGCTGGAATAGCCCATGGTGTTGGAACCCAACGCATTATTGGCCGTATTCATATGGTACAAATTCAAATTGGAAACGATCACTTAACGACGTCATTTACTGTCCTCGCAGAACAAAGCATGGATATGATGCTTGGTCTTGATATGCTGAAAAGGCATCAGTGCTGTATAGATTTAAAGAAAAACGTGCTCAAAATTGGCACCACTGGTGCTGAAACACCATTTTTAGCAGAAGGTAAATTTAAATATTCCTTTGGTTAAATATCTTTTTTATTCGTTACAAATGTGGATGTAAATGTTTAAATACTTAATTTGCAATAGGGGAGCTGCCTGAATGGCTCAGGTTAAGCGGTTATAGCGATGCAAGTATTTATGACATGGAAGATGACGATGAAGATAATAAAGATGACAAAAAGAGTTCTCAAAGGGCACTAGAGGATGGCTCCAGAGATGCGAAAAAGCAACGTCGTCAACAGGGTGAGTATGTATCAGTCCAGGCTATCCTTCATTCCCAGAATTTCTTGTAAATCCTTATATACTATTTAAATTAATTCGTAATTGAGCACTATATTATGAAATCCTTATTGCTTTATTGTATATTTTTTTCTCCCCAGGAAATTAAACTAAAAGAGATCCTTCTATTTGCCTGGACTAATGACTTCAGACACATACTTTATAGCGTACGATCGTGATTTTCTTTATCGCTTGTTGAAACTAGTGAAAATATCTTTTTTTACATGTATTTTAGATGGCCTGGAAAGTAACAGTTCAAGCGGAACATCGAGCAAATCAGAAACCACAGTTCTCCCCCACGATCCATTTACAGAGGAGACTGTAAAAGAAATTGAATCTCTGGGATTCAACAGAGTACAAGTTATCGCAGAATTACGTAAATTTAATGGAGACAAAACCCAAGCTACTGATGCATTGTTCACGAAATCCTTGAGACATTAAAGCAACAAGGGGAGGAAAAAAAATTGTGAAGGTTTCCCTGTCTATACAGTAAAGCTAAGGGCAAGGAAGTACTGTACTTGTTTTTTGGTAGTGATTTTTCACACTGATAATTGTACATTTTGATGCACGGGAAACCACACAATCAAAGCGACGCTCAAGCAAGCATACTCGTTGTTCGACAATTAGCATGAAATCGTGTTTTAGATTCTATTTCGTCGAGCAGCTATATATAAGCGCCATGTTTTATTTCAGTGACGAATGGCTACTTATTAGAGCTATGTTTCTCTCTATTTTTTGCTAGGTTCACAGACATTTATAAGGTACACCGAACCTACTGAAGTCAACATCTGATAACCGAGCTTATTATCGTAACATATATAAGTTTAGACATCAGTATAAATTGGATTCTAACGAAGTTCTAAGTTAGTGAAACAGCTTATTGTTTTTCGTGAAGATTATGGATTTACGAAAATTCTACAACGTTTTTAGACATTCTACGTCTATTTTATTAGATTAGATGAGAAAAAATGATAAACACTTAAAAGAATAATGTTTTAACTAAAAAGATATATTGCACGATTTCACGAACATTTCGAGCTTCGCGACCAGAAATTAGCTTGCGATACCTTTAAGAATTTAGTTCCTCCTCTATAATTTTGTAATTTACGAAAAAGGATTTTGTAAACTGATCATGTCAATTGATCGATAAATTTAGAAAAATTTTCCATTATTAATTTTTTTTTTTTTTTTTTT